TAGTACCTAAATAAATTGTTTTAATTGTGTACCTAGTTTAACGTTGAATATTATTTATGATTTTGATATCTCAGCTGTTTTTGGTGCTTTGCAAAATATTGGCAGTTCCTCCACCAGCGCTCCATTAGTTTACAAATGAGGCAGAAAATTCTCCCTTCCCATACTGGATGATGTCCTGGTGAATACATCAGCTGTGACCAAAGTTCTTATGGTGGCATGCACCCTTCCTGTGACACATACCTCAGAGAAAGGTTTTGATAGGGCATATACCTTGTGAGTGGACGTGCATAGCCCTTCCTACTCAGCGTAAGCCACTGTGTGGCTGCAGTGCAGTGTTAAAATGTTGAGCAGTAGATTTTAACCGTTCAGTTGGTCTAACTCAATACATTTGAGGTACTTGAATAGCAACATTCATTGGCCAAATTGCTACTATAGCTGCTATTGAAGGCTTCTTCCTCTCCAACTGCCAGCTTGAAACGACTACTTCAGAGCATGTCATATTGAGCATTACTTTCGTAAGTTCTGTTGCATAAGCTAATTATGGAGTCCCTCAATAGGCCTAATGAAAAAGTAGATCCTTCGAATTTTCGAAGGCCAGTGCTGGGTATAACTTCAAGTGCAATTGGCTAAGATCATTCACATAGGTAGACAATTCCTTGGTTCTCACCCTTTTTCTGAGTCTCAGACTTGGCCAAAAATTGTCCAAATATACACTGGGTCAAATTGGCTATTTAGTTCATATACATTTGTCTCCCAGCTATCTTGTTGCTCTTCTTCCTGGTGTTCTACAACATCAGGGTTAAACTGCCTAAGCCCGGGATCAGTCATGGCACAGCATGTTCCCAAATAAATCCATTCCGGGCAAAGACCTACTTGAAACACTTTAAGAACCAGTCCAGATCCTCGTTCTGTGACCCTTTCAACATCAGAGGCAGGAACTGTCTGGCCTCATTCACAGAGCTCATGTACAGCTAGACAAAGCCTCTCCATCATGAGATCTCAACTCTTTCAAGGTGGAGATCCTTTTGATTTCAACAGTTCGAGAGAGAATCTGCTAACAAGACTTCTGATATGCAGATTGGCAGTCAATACCTGGCCCAAAGCCACAGAGCGACAATCCACACTAGGTGGCTCTGACTGGCAGAGATTATCCACTAGCATCCTGACCAATATCAGGGACCTTTTCATCATGAGAAAAAGTCTTATGTCCAGAAGAACATCTCTCCTGCAGACATCTCTCTCTCAACCTAACTCTCCCTGTTGGTCATGGGTAATTCTATGATCAGAATAAGTCATTCACATAATAAAAACATCCATTTAGCTTTGATAAACTCAAGTGGTTAAGCAAGGGCTAGAACACATATGATCAAAATAATCCTATTGTCACGGCTCCAACATATATACTTCTTACCCACTTGTGGTATTTTCAGATTAACTGCTTTCCCTAGAAGTATCAGACAATTGGACTCATCAGTAACAGCCGATTATATCAAGAAATAAGGGAAGTAAGTAGTCTGTGTTTAATACCTTGTTTGAATTTCCTGAGAATGTATGAAATAATCCTTTCAACATGGATGCTATATGCTACTGCAATATCTATTTAGTTAAAATAAACATTATCTACTATATAGAACAAAGAATCAAGGCAACTAAAACAAGGTAGCCCCAGTGACTTTCTGGACTGTAGAGTTATGTTAAAACTGTATAGAAACTATATTGTTACGACAGTGGAAGTCACGTGACGCTGGTAACACGTAATGCGTTCTAGAAAGATTGGGGAACATCACGAATAATCCAGTATGTTCTAGGCGCCCTCTATTCCTGTATATAAGTGCGCCAGATAACGTGAGACAAATTATTCGGAATTAGAATTGCAGACAGGCAGAGACAGAGACAGACAGTCAAGCACGGTAGTGAAGTGCGTGAATCGTTGTGAATTCTAGCGTGTGTTTAAGTGTATTGCAAAGTTGTATTGAGAGGGAATAAACTAGTTTTATTTAAGAAAGGACTTGTATCGCTGAAGTTTCTCGGAAATAACTTCTATGGAAAATTAATAAATGAACACAGATGTAACAATATAAAGGGATTTTTTTCAAATTTCCATTTAACTAAAAACAGGTAGAAACCATATGATCTGACTGCATATCACAATGGCTCGAACCGTCAGACCTGCAGCCCAGCATTCTAACAAATAGACATGCACAACCTAAAATTATTAGGTAATCTTGATGAACGTATTGTTACATCTCTGGTCGTTAGTTAATTTTCCGTAAAAATTCTTTCCGAAGAAACTTTAGCGACACAAGTCCTTTCTTAAATAAAACTGGTTTATTCTTCCTGAATACAACTTTGCAATACACTTAATTTCCACATTCGTGCTATAACAAACGCTATAATTCACAACGAACATCTCACGTGCTCGACTCAACTGTCAATCATCATTGTTGCCGTCACTTATTGGCGGTTTATATATACAAGACTACCGCATATCTAGTAGCCTTTCGAGACTTCAGGAACGGACGTGAACGTTCGAGAATATGACGTGTTACTAGGGCCACGTGACCCCCGCTGTCGTAACAGTATTTAAAATATAGGATGATAGGGTTGAAAAGGGAGCCTTAAATAATAAGGGTAATAAAGTTAAACTTTGTAATCCCTTGTCTATATTTGCTTTTAGGCAAATCTCCTTCTCTGGCAAATGACAGTGCTATAAATTTGTGAAACTATTAACCTGATAATTCGTAATGTGGTGTTGAATTTACCTCTAAATTATTGTTGTAACGGGATGTGTAAATGTTTGCTAAAGACTGACATTTATTCTGGATGGATCTTGGCTAGCTGTGCAAGAGTGACGAGATAACCTTAATGACTTGTTTGTTTAGTTCTAGAAGAAAGCCACTTGGGCTATCTGCTGTGTGTACCGCGGAAAATCGAACCCCGGATTTTAGCGTTGTAAGTTCGTAATCTTACCGCTGACCCACCGGGGGTCAATCTTGATGGAGTAAATTGATATTTAAAATAAATGATTTTATTCTGATAATATTGTACATTTTAAAAAGTTATAACTACCACAACATGGGTAATTTATCTGTTCTTAAAGTTGTTCAAAACTTGTTTCTGTTTTTTACAATTGTGTTAGTATATATTTTTTAATTTTATTTAATAATTGAAATGATTTACGAATATTTAAAAATGTGAGTTATGAGAGACATCTGGAAGGCTCAGGTCATAGAACGTGCGTGATGAAACATGTAAATTGTAAGCAAATATATAGTCGTAGAGAAAATTAATATATTTTGAGTGTGGTTTGTATTATGTAACAAATTATTATTATTGTATTAAATAAACAGAATATAAAAGAAAAAGTAGATAGGAAGTAGTAAAAGTTTCGGCGACTATTTAGTTTTCATTTAAAAACAGACTACGCACTACTTCAGATTTTGGTATTTTGTAAACAATATTGATTTACGTTACAATTGTCGATGTTAAACTAAAATAGGAGTAAAAAGAAAATACATTGATATTGTGCGGATTAGATTACTTATATTAAAATGTCAAAAGTAATTATAAAATAACAGCTAATTAATGACTGACGTTAGTTGCACACAAACAGAAATAGTGAAATACGGTACTTGGACTATATAATATTCCTGGTAATTCCTACGATTACTAAAAGCACCAAGCTGAATAATTTTATGTTCATTATAAATTTTAACTACAGGTAGTTTTATAACGCAACTACAAAAATACCCAAACTTACTATTGTTAGTGTTAACTTATATTTTAAAACATGATTTAGCAAGAAGAAAGAAAGTCAAGCCCTTTAATTTTTAAAGTTTAAGTTCATCTTGCTACCCAACTAAACAAGCAATCAAAGCATCAAACCATATTCAAGTATTTAAATAACAAGCATTTAATTTAAAAGTAACAATAACAGTACATATTACAGATAAGCCATTCTCCAACCTTGCAAATTTAATAAATAATGAGATAATTCTACCAAAGAACATGTTTGGATTTGGGTTTCCTAAGGCCTAAGTGAATCACCTTCCTATTGAAAATTATATCTCTCATTTTCATTCTACCCCTCAAACAGTCCACATAGTCTATTAGTGGATTGTGCAGTTCACTAATAGACTATGTGGACTGTTTGAGGGGTAGAATGAAATGGATAGAAAAGTAATTTTGAATAGGAGGGTGATAAACTTAAGCTTTAGAAACCCAAGTATAGGCAAGTTATTAAGTCACCTTTCTTCCATTACTGTTGACAGGAAACTTTTATATCTTTATGCTATTCTTTTTAGCTTAGATTTCTTAAACCTTACCCATCTGTGCACTTTTTCATTACAAACTATGAGATGATAGTATTTATACAAAGTCATAGTAACCTAACTTGAAAATTTTGATAAACTGATACCTTAATATTGTTAGCCTTTTTCACCAAGTCTATACATGTGGGATAAAGTATGTTTGAGCCAGTAGCATCATGCTAACTAGCGATTTTTCAACCTTTCTTGGAAAAAGTTTTTCTTCTTTAGCAACAGAATCTACAAAAAAAATCATACCCATCTTAAGAAATTTTCTGCTGTTAGTAAAATGCATAGAAAAATTGTTGAACAATTCAGCCAAGTTTTTCACCACAATAATTCTCTTTTAATCAACTAAATAGGCCAGTACTACTTGACTGTCATTTTATGTCTATAACAAGCATTAAACTCCAAGTTGAGATTTTTATTACATTTTCTTACCTATAAAATACCTTTCTTGATTTCTTTTAATTTCAAAACCTCAGCAACTTCCACTGATATACTATCTATTGTTGTTGTTTTTTGCTTTATAAGTTGTTCCTTTTTATTTATTAGGAATTTGTTTCTTCTGTTCATCCACTTAGGAATGAGTTGTGTTAGCTATTTAGGTAATCTACATGTAGTGTATATATTTTCATTCTACCCCTCAAACAGTCCACATAGTCTATTAAGTCACCTTTCTTCCATTACTGTTGACAGGAAACTTTTATATCCTTATGCTATTCTTTTTAGCTTAGATTTCTTAAACCTTACCCATCTGTGCACTTTTTCATTACAAACTATGAGATGATAGTATTTATACAAAGTCATAGTAACCTAACTTGAAAATTTTGATAAACTGATACCTCTTTTTACTTGCATAGACTATACTTAAAATATTTTAGAGTAAGATCTGCATAATTCTTTTAAGATTCAGCAATTCTAGTGACATTTAATATGTTAACTACAACCAGAACCTTTAATTCTGAAACTTATAAAGGCTCTTTGTCAGTGGTCTAATTAACAAGGTTCCAAAATGTTCTAGCATCTACTAAACAATGTGTGATGAATTTTTAATAATTAGTTTGTAAGTTGAAAAATCAAGTAATCCTGTATAATAATATCTAAAATTATTTTCTCAAGTGGTATGAGTGGTAAAAAGCCAGCATCAACTAGCTTTGATCAGAAAGACAGAAAATCAGACACATCTAGGTCTGTTCCTTCAACCAAGAAGCGTTTACTTCAAACGAACATTAATGAATTCTTGTCAACAAACAAGAAAAAAAAGAATTGTGAGTAACTTGAATTTAAAAAATGCCATTTATAAACCTAATAATTGACAATTACCATTATTTTAGAAGATTGTATTAATAGTTGTTACTTAACCATGATGGCTTATAGGTTCGTGTATTGATTTTTACTTTTTCATGTGTAGTTCATATATATATATCACTAGAATGTTCTTGTTAAATTTTATTAGATGATTTTAGTATAATACAAGTTTCTAAACTCTGTTAATGCACACAAACTTTTATAACCAGATCATTTTATGTTCAACTCTGCACAGTTATTTAGGAGCATTATTTTTGCACAAACTTTTATAACAGATTATTTTATGTTCAACTCTGCACAGTTATTTAGGAGCATTGCTTTTACACAAACTTTTATAACCAGATCATTTTATGTTCAACTCTGCACAGTTATTTAGGAGCATTGTTTTGATAAAATGTTAGAGATAATTTTAGAAGGCATAAAGCACTTTGATATTAAAGAGTATACATGCACAGTACATGCATTTAAAGGCCCATTAACTTTTTTATTTCTATATTGCCATTACAAAAACTTGTAATTTTTGTTGTGGATAAACTACACTGTAAACTATTTTAAGGTCTTATGTGTAACCAAAAAAGTAACATTTAAAACACAATAGATCCATCAAAAATTTACTACCAAAAGGATATTGCAAGAAATAATTTCTAAATTAAGTCAAAATAAAAAGATAAGACAGAGCTCTAGATCAACAATGCCAAACAAAGAGTGGTCTATAAAGTAGTTTGCTTACTGGTCTCTTATTATGATAGCATTTAACTTTACATTTCATGGCTAGCAAGTTTCAGAAATGTTGAAATATACTTTTTAGTTATAATTAAAAGCAAGGAAAAAATTCTGAAATTGTGTAATGAGTTCAGAGTTATTACTTATTAGGATATTGATGCAATGATTATGGGAGACTTAATTTTTAGCCACTGATTGGGATTTTATGGAGTCAAATAGAGGGAGAATGGTTTCTTGGAGTGCCTAAGGATAGCTTTTTATACACAATGGTTAGAGATCCAACCAAAGGTTTAAAATTAGAATTAGACTCATGGCCCTTTTACTTCACTTGCCTAGATGAGGAAATAAATGATATAATTTACAAATTATCAGGGCTATGCTTAGAATAACAGATGAGCTGGTTAGAACTGTGGGATAGATAGTTTTCAGGATAAGGGTGAATCTTATGGTTTATAATTAGGTACCTGCTGTATTCTTTGATGTTGTATGAGCAGGTGCAGATCTTGGTGAGGGATCCAGGGAGTATGAGCCCCATCAATGTTTCCCAGAAGTTAATAACTGTATTATTTAATGTTGCATAAGCAGGTGCAGATTTAGGTGGCACAGACCCCTTCCATTTTTTACAGAAATTAATAATAGTTATTGTGTGCTGTATAGGCAGATATGGATCTCAATCCCATTTTTTCAGGAACTAATAAGTATTTTGTATTAGAAGACATAAATTTTGTGGAGGAGTCTAGGGGACTCCAAACCCTCTCCACCCATTTTTTTTTGGCAGAAATTAATAACTGTGCTTTTTAATATTGCATAAGGTGATGCAGATTTAGGGGATGTTCAATTTCCCCCATCATTTTCAACAATTAATTTAAAAAACAGCCAAAATCCTTATGCTACCATATAATATCAAAATGAAACAGATGTCAGTGATTTTATTTGATTGGGCTATTAATTACCATAAATGTTTTCTGAAATAAGCACAGCTGAGTCTACAGCAATACAGTTAAGGCTTCAGCCAATAACTCATTATTTCTACTTTAGGACAATATGGTTGAAATTGATTAATCCAATATACCTTGCTGTTATAGAGGAAGTCTGCATTTACATAAAGAATTGCTGAAAATGTGCTTAAACTATTACACAACTAACTTTTAAAAATTTAACTGGTATGATACCATCATTATAAAAAAATTACTTCAGCTAACGTTGAGAAAAACTTTGTTACTCATTAATACATTATTACATGAATAAACTTTAATTTTATACATATTAATTCCCTAAGTGTTTTAAGCTTTATAAGATAATACTATAACTGTTCAACATTTTATTTCATACAATAAATGAATATTATTCTAATTTTTATGTTGTTTGACTTTAAATCTTAGCTAGTTGAATAACATCAAAATAATACTAGGTTTTACCTTGGCTAAGTACTTGTTTGCCTAATAAAAAAAATCAGTAATGATTATTATTATTATTTTTTGGTTGGTTACAAAGTGTTTGAGTAACTGCGTAGTTAAAAATATAACACTTAAGGCCTCAAAATTGTCATAAATGTGCTTATAAGAAGGTAAAACAATATTGAATAATCTGGAATAACAAGTCTGGGAAGGTATAGAAAGTATTATTGCAACAGGTGACTGATAGGTAAATAAATCTTTTATTGTTTCTAAGAGCAAGTTAATTATAAACTGTTGTGCTTGAAGTCTGAAAACAGGGTTTCCTCTGGCTTTTCATATTTTTTGGCACTTGATAAAAGTTTTTGAGACACAAATTTTATACATTTAAAGTAAATTTTAGATGTTATTTCTAACTATATTTGAACAGTTTTATCTCAAACATTTATTAAAATTTCATATTTTCATTTCTGCACAGCTGCAAAGAGTTTTGCCTTTAAAAAACATCCCAATTATTGATTTTTCTACCCATCCCAAAGAATAACTTTATTTTTGCTAATAAATTATTACCCCTTGAGAATATATTATCCATTTCGTGATTTTCAAATGTTTGTCTGAGTTTTGGTACTAGCATTTGTTGAAACCTTATTACGGTGACATATCATATGGTTTGATCCTTAGACTTAATATACATGATTTCAGATAGTATATTTTAAGTCTATGGTTTTATCATTTATTAATGAAACAGATATTGAAGGCAACTATAGAAAGTTTAAATATGATTGGATAGAGCAAAAATTAGAATAACACACAATAGTTGAGTAAAAATATAGGTTTAAAAGGTTTTTTTTATAGTTTCAGTAAACATTCCTTATAGTTCAATTTATTTGTGAATAGTGAATGTACTTGTGTGTTAAATTATGTGTGTTTAAAAGGTACAGGAATTTTCTTCAATGAGAAGACATCAGATAAGGTAAGCTTATGCAGCTGAGAGAAGGATTTAATGGGTAACAAAGAAAACTTTATTAGAAGTTTAACACAGCAACAAATGTGCAATATTTGGAGAAGGTTTATCATTATGAGGTACAAGTAGTTTATGTAGACACAGGAATATATATATATATGTATATTCCCACAGTATGAAACAAAGAAATCACATGGCTGAAGATAGCTTAAGGTTTAATTAAAATATCTTTTTAATGTTTGGTTATTTGTTTAAAATTATAGTGTTTTTACTTTTTAATGGATATAGTATGGTTTTCATGACTTGCAATGTTTGTAAAGATGAGGTTTCTTTTGAATTATGCTCACCAAATAAGATAAAATTATCATCAAATCAGATAACTTTAGTCCAGTTTATTGTTCAATTAGTATGGTGGGTCAGTGCAAAATATTCTGATGATTCAAATCTGTACTGATTATTATTTTTATTTTTATCTTACTGAAACACCATACCTAAATAAATTGGCTAACTGGCTACTTAATTATTTCTGATTGTAAATATGATATGTTACAAATAAAAACACTATTACCCTTATTGGTAACAATAATCTCCATTCACATAATAGCTTTTCTCATTCAGTGCTGCCCTCTATATGCACACATTTTTTGCTCGTCATTAGCCTTGATACTCCCACCTACTACACGTGTTTAACGTGGTTCAGCTGCATTGTAGCATGCAAATAATCATGCGACAACCCTCCACCAATAGGTTTGCAAGACACTCTTCAGTCACAGCTGGCTCCCTCTATACCATAGAACCCAATCTCCAATTATCGATTTGACACAGAAGAGTGCAGATGTTTCAAAATTTCACTCTTGTTTCCTTAGTATTTTGCATTAATGGTTTAATTTGTTAAACAACTTTCTTAGTTGTTTCTAGTTTTTCTTAACAATTTTTATTTGATTCTATAGTGAAACTTAATACTGTAGGTTGATATTTCGTTATCCACTTTCAGTAGAATTTTAATTTCCAAATTTCAGTTCACAACAACTACTACTATTGTTCATACTGCAACTGCACTGCAACCTGCAGTTGGTTAGGCTTTGGGCTTCACGTTTTATGCTTCACATTTGTTGGGGTCCATTATGTGGCCTGCTGTATCTCCTGATCACAGATCAGATTTTCCTTTATCTGGGGAATGTTTACAGAAAGATGCCAATTTTGATAGCCGGTTTCCTCCTCCTTCCTTTGCTATGCAATCCCAAATTCCTACTGTGGAAGCTCCCAGACTGTTTTCAGCCTTCCTAGATATGGTATTCCCAGGTATGTTACCTTTTATCTATATCCTGTGTGTCTAATGATTCCTCTCCATCCCTCCTGAATTCTGCTCCTTCCTCGGATTAACTAATTTTTTTTCCTTCTCTTGAGGTCAGCGTACATGCAAAGCTGTGTGGGTGGGCTGGTTGGTCAAGTTGGAGAAATTTTCTCTTTGTCCTACCCAATACCTTATCCATTTTATTGTTTTTTCAACACCCATCTCAGTTGGGCCCAACATTTTATGGAACAAGGTGGTCAGAAAGCCCTGTCTATTCTCTTACTTGCAGCTTGTTAGGTTCTATTGCTTTTTCGAGATGTGGTCCTCCATGACCCCTCTCATACCCTTTCAATGGGTCCTTCATGATCAATGGATCCTTGTCTAGGATCCCTTTCCTCATCCTTTGTATACAGTTTCCATTGGTGGTTGAACAGAGCTCACATGTCAGCAGGGGTCCCGCATCCTCCTCCGTGGCAAGATTTACATCTGTTCATGGATGCATCGCTTCAGAACTGGGGTACTTGGGTGGATCACCAGGAAGTTTGGGTCGTTGGTCTGGTTATGATCCATTCCAAGAATCACCAAGGTGGCACTAGGTCTGGATCCCTAGGTTTATGCACTATGGATCTTCTTTTTTCATGCCACAAACATCACATTCATTTGATGGCATGTCAAGTGCCGGGTGCTTTCAATCTTGTAGCCAATCATCTTTCCTGACTGGATCTAGTTTATCCCACATAGTGGTCCCTGTGTCCTGCTGTTTTTCTGTGGCTCTGTCTGCATCTGGGTACACCCCATATCGATACCTTTGCCACCTCTTTCAATCACAAATTACCTCAATTTTTATCCCTGGTCTCTTTGTACCACTCCTTCTATCTTATCCAAATCTTGCATTTCTTCCCAAGACCTCTGCAGCTTGATAAGGTAAGCCCTCTTTTTCCCCTATCTGCCCATCCTCTATACCCTCATCCTGATCCGGATAGACTGCTCTGTTTTGTCTGTGCCACCGTTGTTCTGTTGCTTGCCTTTTTATCCCTTAGCAACCTTCCTCTTCCCATGATCTTTTCCCGTTACTCTAACCAGTTGGGTTCAACGTTTGATCCAATTCCTATTCCTCCATGTTTCCTTCCCAGCGTGATTTCTTTCATGTTTCTGTAGATAAAATCCATCACCTTACCTTTTCCCTTGCCTCTCATCTTTGTTGGCCATTGGAAGAAATTCTACAATTGGCCATGTGGACAACTCTGCACATGCTCATATCCCACCTCCTATACTACATAGCTGCTTCTTCCTCAAGGTATCACCTGCTACCTGTGGCTATTCTAAAGACTTCAGCATAGCTGTAACATGTGGAAAGCCCTCACTAATGCTTTCTTTTCTTTGAAGGACCCCTGCTTCAGCATCATTTTGGATCCTGCTCTGTGGCGAGTAGTTCCTAGTGAAGAGATACCTGGCTCAGATGTCGTGCGGTACCCCTCCTCAGATCATCTGATCTATTCCTCTCCTCTCATTTTGGTGGGGGGTAGATCTGGATGCTTCCAGGGGGTATGCCTGTGCTTTCCTCACTCTGGTCCCTGCTCCATTTCAATGTGGGATTCAAGCTAATTTTGTAAGCGGAGGGATAGTACCTTATTGAAAGTTATAATTTTCCTAAGTGTATTTCAGATATGTATTTCCTTCCGCTCACACTTTGCACCTATCCTCTCCACAATCTTTCGGTGCTCGTGTCTTGTGCCAAATTTCGAAGTGATAGTTTTGGTCATGGTGTGTAGAGGGAGTTGCATGCATAACGTGATAGTAGTGCTTTCCTATTGGTGGAGAGGTGATGCATGATGATTTGCATGAGAGACATGTTGGAACTTTGGATTCCAACAGAGGGAAGATGAAGGCTTGTGGCATGTGTTTCTGAAAATAGTTTGCATATAGAGGAGAGCACAAAAGGAGAAAAGTTAACCTTGTGAGCGGAGGGAAGTACCTATAGGAAATACATTTTGCTTTAGGAAAATTATAACTTTCGTACTGGTCCCCCACTATGTCAGTGTGGGATTCTAGCTATTATGTGAGTGAAAGTAAGGTATCATATCAGAAGTTAACATTTTCCTGCACTGAAAATATATTTCCAATAGGTTCTTACCTCCTCTTACACTTCCCACCCTACCTCCCTACTTCTGATGCTTTTTTTTTTGCCTAATATTGAAGTGAAGATTGGGTTCTACATTATAGAGGGACCAGTTGTGATAGGAGAGTGTATCATATTCCTATTGGTGGAGGGTTGTCACATGATTATTTGCCTACTACAACACAGCTGTATCACATTAAACAAGTGGAATAGGTGGGAGTATGAAGGCTATCAGAAATATATTTTCAGTGTAGAAAAATGTTAACTTTCATTATTTAATTATCAATTTATTTGATTTACAGAAGAACAGTGTTTTTTAAAAACAAACATGGTGACCACATGATAGTATTTTGTCAAAATTAATGATTCATTTGCCAAGTAGGAAATGTCCAAATTACCATTAAAAAAATTGTGAAAAAATATATTTTAGACAAAAAAATATGTTTTTCCAAAATGCACAAATAATGACTTCCAGAAGACGTCTATGATATAAACCAAAGGTAATTAGAAAATTGCTTTAAAATTTAACTTCAGCAATGTGAATGAAAATATGAAGATTGATATCATGTTAGAATTAAACAATAGTTGAAAAAGTTATGAAGGCAGCTCACACCCATTTTGTTTTGTATGGGGGAGATTTAGGAGGCATGTACTAATCAACTAATAAATCAAATGTTATCAGCTAATGGAGCCATCAATTAGCAAACACTACTATTTGGCCAACTCTAAATGAGATTAATGTTACTTAATAATGAAAATAATGATTCTATAATTATGGGAAACTTTAATTTTAGAAACATTGATTGGAACTGTATGAAGTGAAATAGTGAGAGAAAGAAATTTCTTGAAGAGCTTCAAGATGGTTCTCTTCATCATATATCAAGATAAGAGAAGCAACCAGAGGGGAATGCCATTTTAAATCAATTATTACCACTAATGAAGATGTAGTTATAAGAGTTTAAATGGGGGACCATTTGGGAAAAAGTGATTATTGCTTAATTAGGCATGATGTTTTGCTACATTTTGAGAAGAAAAGGAAATAATATTTTAGTTTCTAAATTTCAAAAACCCACTTTAATTCTATTGTCATTAGTGAATTATTATATAACTTCAAGATGTTTGAACTTTTAAATGTTTTCTCATCAGTTTTAATAAGAGAAGATTTAATCAATACCCCCATTAATTGATTAAATTTGATTAATTTATTAGTACAGCATTCCTCAAACCATGGTACATAGTAGATGGTAACCTGTGGGACATCGACGGTCAGATTTGTTTGCCTTAGACGTTTCAGTACACCTTATCACTCTACTTATGTTGTCTTTTATCTGGATCATTCCTTCCTCCCAAAGACCTCTGTGGCTTGGGAGGGTGGCTCCCTTTTGCCTATTTTTCCTTCGTTCCATTTCTCATCTTTACCTTCGACCAGATTCAAATAGACTTCTGTGTCCAGTCAGGGCTCTTCATTGTTATATTGCCCGTCAAGCTTCCTTCCTTTGTACCCATTACTGATTCTTTATCCCCTGGCAGTCTTCCTCCCTTTGTGATCTTTTACTTTCTCTCCTTACTACTTGGGTCCGACTTTTGACCAAAAAGGCTTATTCCTCCCTGCATTTTTCATTCCAAAATTTGTTCCAGGTGTCTTTTCATCACAGTAGACACCTCTCCTTTTCCCTTGCTTCTCGTCTTCATCGTTCATTGGAGGAAATTATATAATCAGGCATGTGGACCACATCTAATATGTTCATCTCCCATTATCTACATTCTATCGCGGTTTCTTCTTCATCTGGTTTTTCGCCTTCCACCTGTGGCTGTTTCTATTCATACTTTCTGTTTTTTTTCAGGGGCTTTTTTCTTCATTCCTTGTTATATGAATCCTGCTCTTTGGCGAGTGGTGCATGACCATGTTTTCTTTAACTTGAAATCTGCAATGTACAGCCATGTTGACTCGCGCCTTATATTCCATGGCTTCGCAGTGCTCACTGTTGGGGTGTTCCACAAGATTATTTGTAGGTGAATAACCTCATGATATTTTGCTTCATAAGAAGATTGTTTGTAGGTGAATAACCTTGTGATATTTTGCTTCATAAGCATGCCCATCCCAGACTGTACCACCCTAAGATTGGGTAAAGCAAAAGGGGAGAGCTGCCCATCCCTGCCATGCCTGTAGTGGATAGCTCAGTATGGTCTGCTTTTCAAAATAGGATTTTGTGGTCACCCATTGCACTGTCTCAGGTGATGACGTTCCTCCAGACTCTCCTTTGCCTTTTCACCCTCTTTTCTGCTAGTGTAATATAGGAGCTGTTACCACTTTCCTGTTCCAAGCTGCTGGGGTGGACATCTGTGGAGGTACCCTACTGAATGGGCACCACACAATGATGGCTATAACTATTCAGTGCAGAGTAGGATGGTGGTGTTCTGTGGGTGTAGATGACCTACTGTCCTCCTCTTTATGATATACAATTACGAAGGAGTGATAGGACAAAATGCATTAACCCCTTCGATTGGGAGCAACCATCCTACTCCCACATGGATGTTGGTACCCAGTAGCTGGGTTTTGGATTTAGAGTAGAACCAATCAACATATGTTCTCACATGTTTCAGGTTGTCTGTCTTCTTCCCTCAATTTTCCTCCATCTATGTTGTGAGTCACAGATGTGGTATGTAGATTGTTACAGTTCTGTCCTTTGGCTCTCCCATGTCCTATCTTAATACTGGGATTTTATTGGCTTTTGGATGGTTACAGTAAGTTTCCAGGTTGGGGGAGTTGATTTCATGAGATAGACATCATTTTGATACTGGATGTCGAGTCCTCGGATCGATAGCTCAGTGCTAATACTTGTGTCATACCTGGGAGATGGCATGATTCTCAATTCCCCAGTCTCTTGGGTTTGAGGTGAAGATGGTATGATCCTCATGCTACCCCTGCATGGATGTCGGTACTCAGTGGAATGGGTTTTGGATGTAATTGACTTACCGAGTAGGGTCCGTCGCACCCTAGCCACTCTACACCTGAGGGCACATCCATTGTTTTACCTACTTTTCTATTCATGGAATTGAGTTATATTTATTTTATATGGTTAGGATCATGATCCTGACACAGTTCACTCCCACTTAGATGTGCTCCTCTCCTTTTCCACCCTTATCTTCTCCACTTTTCACATAGGGGTGAAGACTGTACTTGGCTCAGAAGTGGTGTGGTTCTCCTCATCTGATCTTTAGACCTGACTCTCATTTCAAGGGGTATCCTTTGGATGCTTTCGGGTAGTACTTCTATTCTCCTCCTATTCAATGTGGGATTCTAGCTAATTTTGTGAGGTGAAGTAAGTATCCATATCAGAGGTTATAACTTTCCTATTCTTTCCGTTCACACATCCCACCCTTTCTCCCCACTTTCCTCTGGTGCTTAAGTCTTCTACCAAACTTCAAAATGATAGTTCGGTAGAGGAGTATAGAGAGAGTTACATGTGTCACTTGAACATGTCATTCTCCTATTGGTGAAGAAGTGACGCATGATGACTTGCATGAGAGACACGTTGGAATTGTTCAATTCCAATAGGGGAGAGTAGAAAGCTTGTGGCATGCGTAAAGAAAACATTTGCATATAGAGGCAGCACTAAACGAGAATAGCTAATTTTGTGAGAGAAGGTAACATAATACAAAAGTTTTTTAATATTTTCATAATCATCAGGTATTGTTCCAACATCATAATGTAGCTAATGGCAAAGACAAACTTAGGAGTTTTGCAAATAAAATCACATTAAAAACATTAGAGTAGCAAAGTACATCTACTGTTTGTGTTCTCGACTTCATATCCATGTAAGAGCTGTTCAGTTTAGTTTGGTTGGAGAAAATACTCATGTTATTCATGACTTTCAATATAAGTAGTTAAACGATTAAAGAGCAACTACTATATAGATTCGGTTGTATTTTGATATTTTCTTCTTTCATTGTTACAGTACATGTAGCAGTGAATAAATACATTTAGGTATGTATAATTTTGTTGTGTATTGTCTTTAGACCAAACTGATTTGGTTGGGAAGAACAACAAGCAAATATTTCCACAATTCTTTTTAGCCTTTTTCTATTATTAGTTATGAGTTAAAGTTTTTCTTTTAATTAAATTTAATGCCAAGTAATTTTTTTCTATATTTTAGATAAGAGTGAAAACAAGTATTGTGCAATTTCTGAAGAAGAAATGAGCCAAGAAGAGTCTAGAGAGAAAAAACTTCAACGTGATGTTTTAGCTTCAGCTGCAGAAAGAAGGTGAAACTATCTTTTTTAAAACTTATTATATATATTTTTTAATTGTATCAGGAGTAGCAAAATTATCATGTGTGTAATAAGTGATAAACAGTATGTTAGCACAAAACTGTAACTTTATATAGCAGAGTAAAAACCATTTGAAAGAGAAGAAATCTTGATGATATATCTCCTCCCTTTTAGGAATTTATACTACTTGAAAGAACTTGAAAATCATATCAAGAATATATATATATATGTATGTATGTGTGTGTGTGTTTATATATATATAGTGAATATAGAAAGTATGATTACAGTTTACTTTGAATAAGTTGTAATCAGTAAGGATGCAGGTTGGCCTTGTGTTAAAGCTCTGGATTTAGGAGATAGGGAGCCAGTTTTGAATCTGTGCAATATCACATTGTAAGAATGGCAGTCGATCCCTTAGTGTGGATGGTACGTGCTAATGATTGACTCCTTTCCCTCTGTTCAGTAGTTCAAAATTATTGACTGTGGAAGGTAGTTTAAGTAGCTTGGTAATAAATATAAAATACGGTTATTTCATTATTCACCAATTTCCACTTCTAATTATCATGACCACTCTCTTTTTAAATACAGCCTCTCTATTTGTATGTCCTGACTGACCTGTTCCTAACTTTTTCTAGTGTGATGATCTTGTTTCATACCCATGTACAACTAGGTTGTCAACAATATCTTCAACTAGTTCAATAATAACAAATAATAAGTAATCCTGGGAACTATTTATTAACACAAAAAGAAGTTACACGAGGCAGGTGACATTCACATAGTGAGTGTCAAATCCAGTCAGGCACTAGTAGATTAAGTCATCCTTGGTAATGCCTGCAGAGGTGATAGTAAACAAATTAATAACCCTAACTTTTCTCTAAACTTTACAGTTAAATATTTATATGCCATAGCTCCACATACATTGATGCCATGTTTACAATTATTAACATAACACTATGTCACATGCCCATCAACAGTAAACATCATGTACAACTAATATCATGTTACTGTCAAGTTGCATCACACACTGTAGTTCAAGCATAGCCAAGATGATTGTACAAAATCTAATTAGAAAACTTGTGAGTATTAATATAAGCTGTGTGTAATTATTACATGCTAACAGACACCTGCATCTGAAGGTAGAAATAATGCTAGCTTAATTCTTCACAGTAGTTAGGTACCTTTTCCTTGTGAATGTTTAATCATCATCTGTTACTATAGAAGTAACTTAAATATCACATTTCACTTGGCATCTAAAATATTCATCACAATATAAAAAATACTTATTACATAATACTGGGTCTTTTCTTGAGAATATCAGCTTTTAAAGCTTTATTCTCAATAGTAAAGTAATTTTAAAAACTGAACTGTTACAGCTTGGACTCAAGAGACAGTTTTTTAACTTCATAAAAAGCATAGGATTGCTGTGGACTCTGCCCATGTGAAGAATGAGAAACTTTATGTTGATTAGATATTTATTGTCAACACATATATAGGGACCTATCTCTTCCTTTCTTGTTCTTGTGGTGAGAATTTCTACATACTTGTGGATCATCTGACTGCTCGACCTTCAGTCATTGGGCTAGATTTAAGGTAACATCACATATAGGATTATGGTTATACTAATTAAATCTTGTGACTTGACAATACAGGAATCATTTCTTTTTGATGCTCTCTTGAATCCATCTGGGATGTACCAAAATGCATGGTGTTATTTTTTTACTCGTGTGATTGGGTAAGTCAAAAAGAATGTTTTATTATCAACTGTGCACATAATTTACAAAGTAGTTATTACAGTTGTTGAGTTCTCATTGGGACCAAATATTATATTTATTTGGTTCAGGATGTGTACTTTTCTACCTTTCTAAATTATCTGTGTAGTTAATTGTTTGTCTGTATTTGTTGTGTCTAGTATATCCTAACTTTGACTTGGCTAAAAAAATTTACAGGTTTTATGAGTTTACATTCAACTATGTGAAGCTGCCTAAGGTTCCAGGTAGTTGTACTTGTGCAATATATGATTAAAAATACAGCTCTGTTTCGTTGTTTTGAATTATTTTGGTATTTAACTAGTTTAAGTGAAGAAAGAACATTTAAGTAAGAAACTTAACAACATTATTAAAAATATAAAAATTGAGTCCTTTGAAATAAACATATAACTTTATTTGTGCTCATATTGAATGTATATTGTAACAAATTATGATTAGGAAGAAATAGTAAAACTTCTAATTGTGTAGTAAATATGGATTCAGTGAGATTGCATGTGGTTTGAGTATTATAGCACATTGATGTCAGGTAAGTTTTTTCAATTTTATGTATACAGATTAATGTGCATTACCTTTATGCAATTTGATGTTATTTTTGTTTCAATAGATATTTTAGTTCAAGGAACATATTGATTTTGTTTCTTACTAATGCCCTTTTCTTGAGCTAAGGTAAATAGAAAAACAAAATCTGATAGTATATGCATATTAATTTGTATTTAATACTTCCCAGACAATAAATGAATTTGTAATTTTTTTATTTCATCATCTTAAATATTTTATAGAACTCTGAAATGGGGGTGTGTCTGTGGGCCAGACTAGTTTTGGAGAATTCCACTCCTCATCAGTTCAACTATGTATCAGCTGCCTAGTGTCACCTAAAAATACAAAGAATTAAATTGTGGTGGAATGCTACAAGTTCTTCAAATACCTATAGAATGATAGGTTTATTTTTTATGAGTGTAAAATACTTAAAAACACCATTTCGATTTTAAATACCTCACTACTATAAAGGCTTGGTTTGGTCTGAAGTTTCAATCGGTGGTTGTGTCCAGGGTCACTGATGAGGAGTGGAATTCTCCGAAACTAGTCTGGCCCACAGACAGACCACCAGTGAAAGAATAGACCATTCCCAGCTTTTACTTGTTGTTAAACAAATGTTTAAACAACTCTGTTCAATTTTATAGAACTATGTATACAGGCTCTGAGACTTATACTTTACAGCAATTGAACACAGTTCAACAGGACATCAAGAAGGAGAATGAATATACAAATATAAAGTTTCAACTTTAAGGAAAATATCTTCTACTAAATAGTGCAAAATATATTAATGCTTTTATTTAATGTTTTCATGCCCCTAGGATTACTTCCAGTCAAAACAGTTGTTCACCAGTACACAGCATCACTGAAATATTAAATGGTATGTATTAATTATTTGATCTTGAAATAAAGATAAAAATACATTTATGATATTTCTTGTACATATATTTATGGAAATTTATATATGTTTATATTAGGGTTGAGTAATAAATGCAATATACAGTGTAATTTGTGTAAGACTTAAATTTAACAGTTTGTGGCTGCTTAACTGAGAACTGTGATGTGAGATTACCATAGTATACATGCTTACCTAAACCTTTAACCTGCTATTGAGTTGACAAAATACATAGCTTAAGTGTTTTTATTTTTTTGAGGGGGGATTTGCAATCAATGAATGGTGCTGCATATCAGAGCATTTCAGAATAGTTTGATTTAATATTGCACATTTAATAAAGAACAATATTAAAAAATAACTTTTTGATTTCAGAATTTTGTTCTTTTTCACCTTAGTGTGGCGGGTCTTCCTATGGTCAAAGGACATGTTATCGCGTTTGTAGACTCACATTCAAGATTTAATTGAAGTACTATTTTATGAATGTAAGCCAGTAAGTTTTGTATCAAATTGTGGATTATAATTCATATTTTAGTACTATACATGAGTTAAGTCTTTCAGTATGGGATCGACCTCGTAACCTTTTGTGCTTATAATACTTTTCATGATATAACTTTTAAATTATTAAGCATATGTTAACGAAATTTGGCATATTATCAGTAAACATTACAATGCTTTCACACACAAAATCTCAAATTTTTTAATTAAGTCTTAAGGTTTGTTAAACAATGTTTTTCTCATGCCTTATTTTTGTTTTGGCATGTCGCCTGTCCAACATGCCAAGTAATTTTCATTATAAGATTATAAATACTTTTATTCATCAGAAAATTTTCAAATTTCATATGCAAAATATTTATAATGTCTAGATAGTTATCAAATGTTTCTTCAAAAAAAAACTTTTTATTTTATCTGTTATTTTCTCTGACAAATCTCTGTACGGGTTTAGTAGATTTGACCGATCTTATAACCACCATAACAAATTAGGAAATAGACATAAAGTATGCCTCTTTCGTTCTAGAATGAAAACAGATTAT